AAGAAGGTTGGGCCTTGAGCATTGCCAGGACCAAGACGTGCGGGTGCCCTACTAGGGACTGGCTCTGTTCACCCCCACCTCCATCAAATGACATCACTGCTGGCCAGACAGCTTTGTCACTTGACGGGAGCGGGAGGGGACAGCCAGTCCGGTTTGGCCCGGAATCGAGTCCCCAGCCAATGCTCAAGGCTTCAACCCCTCTCATGCACTGGCAAGGCCACCCACTGAAACTGCTGTCCTTGCTGCCAATGAAGGCACCTGCAGACAGAGAAAACCAAGACAGGCTCATTAAAACAAAAAACGAAGAAGCAAATCAGCAAACAAAAAAATCAGGAGCTGGCTACTGCAAGAACAAACCATATGCATAAAAATAGGAGCTCGGAGGCAAGGGCTGAAATTTATCTTGAATTAAGGAGCTTGGAGTGTGGAGTGCAGCGCAAAATCTTGAAATCCATGGGTGTGCAGAGGGCACTTGGAGAACCTGCCATGAGGTGGAAAAAAAAAGACGTCAGTGAATGGGGAATTGAAGCTCAACTTGATCAGAAACCATAAGGCCAGCAAGGGTGAAAGCAAAAGAGGTAAGCAGTAGAGTAATACGATAAAGCAAGGGAAATGGCTGGGGTTGACAACTTATCTCCATGGTTGAGTGTTGAGGCGCGTGTGCAGGCCATGGTGGATCTTGGGCTTGCTGGACTGTGGAGCGGTGTGCAAGGTCTTGAGGGTCCATGGCGTGTACATGGCGCTTGGAGAACCTGCCATGAGGAAAAATAAAACAAATTAGTGAACAGGGACTTGAAGACAAACAACTTGAAAACAAAACAAAAAAACAAGGAATCAGCAAGCTTGAGGCTGGGAAAGCAAGGGAAGAAAGGCTGGGTTGGTGACTTGCCATGGTTAAGCCTTGAACGCTTCAGCAGCCCATGGTGCTCCCATAGAGCTTGGGCATGGTGAAATCCGTTGATAAAGCTACCTGCCAAGTAGAGTGAGGAAATCCGAGTTAAAACGTCAACTAAGGTAAAGGTACCAACATGCAGAAGTGATTAAAACGAAAAAGAGGAAAACGAGACTTACTGCTGGAGGAGAGAGAGGAGGCACCTGCCAGGTGCTGTTGGCAGGTACGTTCACCCCGCCTTGGAGCTTGGAAGTGCGGAGCTCCTCTGAGCACATTTGGAGCGTGACACAAGGGCCTTAAATAGAACCTGCAAGGAGATCAAGGGAACTAGATTAGTAGACAGAAGTGAACAAAGCAAGCCTAAACGGACGGTGGTGCAAGTGTGGTGCAAGTGCCACAGAGCCTATACCAACCAAAAAAACCTTAGGGGGACCTTGACCTTTACCAACCTCAACCTTAACCAAACCTGAACCTGAACCAAGGGAGGCGGCTCTGTGGCGTGAATAGGGTGTGGTTGATACGTTCAACCTTCACCAGCCGTGGAGCTTCTCCTCTGTTGTTCGCCATGAAGCATGGAAGTACGCCAAAGGCTGTTGCTCCTCCGAAAAACGCAGCAGACCCTCACATATAACCTGCGAGTTAACAAATAAACGAGAATTAGTCAAGTTTGGGAAGAAAAGCATGCAAAACGAAAAGAAGCGTGGAAAAAACATGTGTTGGTGCAACACCGAGCCAAATACCAACCGAAAAACCTTCAGGGGAAACCTTTACCAACCTGGACCTTCACCATACCTGACCTGTACCTAACCTCGACCAGGGGGGGGCTCTGTGAAGCGTGAAGGTGGGGTTGATACTTCAACCTTCGCTCGTGGAGCTGCTCCTCTGTTGCCCTTCATGCAGCACGGAGAGCCCCGAAGGCCGTTGCTCCTCTTTAATCTTCGAAAGTACGCCTCGCAGCCTCCAATAGAACCTGCGAATGTAGAAAATATATAGTTAGTATACGGAATTGAAGTATGCAACGGAAATGAAGACTTTGCGAAGTGAAGAAACGTGTGCTGTAACGCATCGCCCTCCTACCCTACGAGCGTTTCCTAGCTAAAGCACTACCTAAGCAAGGTATCGACTTACGGGAAGAAGAGGATGGAGGAGATGAGTGGTGATTGGTCCACAATTGTGAACAACCACCCACTAAAAGACAAGCATGGTTGGAATCCAACCCAACCCCACATTGGTTGGAATTCCAACCAATGACAATTGAACATTGTTGTTACAAGTTACAACATGTAACATAACCATTCTTATCACAATTCTACTGCTCTCATTGGTTGTTAATCCAACCATTGTGCCACCTAAGCAAGCTCACCCCAAGGAGCTCCTTGCCCTTGTTGCCATGGAGGAAGTGGAGCTCCCCAAGGAGGTCTAGGGGGGGATTGAGCTCACCAAGCTCATTCTCAACTCCCAACTTCCAATTAACCAAAATGGAAATGGGATCTTCTCTCTAAGTCCAAGTCTTTTCCCTCACAAGTGCTCCAGGCGTCTACTACCTTCTTGGTGAAGTTACCTTTTCTCTCCCAAGGCTTCACCTATCAAGCTTCCAAGACTTGAGGCTATTAATAGGACTAGTTTTTCACGGTGTGTGTGTATTCTTGGCGTTTTATAAGCCTACTATTGACCCTTTTGTGGGCATTCATTTATAAGCCCGGGTCTTTGTTGTGAGTTTAAGGGCGTTTTCATATAAGCCCGTGTTACATGTGCTGCCCCACCACAGAGCCAGTACCAACCTGTACCGAAAAAAAATACCTCCTGGGGACATTTACCGAACCTATACCGAACCTTTACCAAACCTTAACCGGGGGGGAAGGCTCTGTGGTGAGTGGTGGTGCAAGGTGATACGTTCAACCTTCACCAGGACGACTCGTGGAGCTGCTCCTCTGCTCCTCTGGTCGATCGAGGATATTTCAGCCACGTCGTAGCTGGCGTCGCGACGAGGCCGAGGACGCAATCTAGATCCACGGTCATTCCATGGTTACCACGATGTCCTGCAAATAACAGCACAGCGAAAGCCATAGTCAGGATCGGGGTCGAAAGAAACTGAAGCGGTAGTCGCGTACTCTATTGGATCAGATTGCCAATTCAAAAACGAAATAGGGATAATTGTTGTACCTGACATTGTAAACGAAGATCTGCAGGAGATGCTGACTCGGTAACGTGGCAGAAACTCCCACGGTCGATGTTGTGAAGCTCCGCGAACCAAGGCCAGGTTGACCGGTGAACAAGTGAGAAGGTAGTGATGGTTCGGAAGTGGTAGAGCCAAGCTCGTCTGGCAAAAATGGTAAGGATGCTACGGAGACGAACTAAAAGTATGAGATGAGACGCCTGAAATCAGAATGAGCCTGATGACCGTGTGGATCGTCTGATTGCGGACCGTTGGGCTTCGTTATGTGGTGAAAACAGCCTAATGTTGGGATCCTGCATTGCTGTCTTCAGTGGTGGTCCCAAATATGCCACCCTGGATTATGGTGGATCGGAACAGCATCAACAACAAGACGTACTCCAATTTCTGATTGGACCGCCGAATGTGGAAGCTGTAATCCGCGACCGGAACAAGATCATGTGTCTCCAGTTTGGGACACGTAGGCTGTTTGAACGGCCAAAAAACGAAGGGTGGACACATCGACTCCAAAAAAATAGTGACGTGGCCAGCCGCCAATCCAACCGGCGCCGATCTTTTCCCGAAGCGTGATGGGAAGAGCTGCTCTAATGCGTAGAAGGCGGCGTAGGCAGCAGAGGTGGGAGGGAAACGAAGTTTTGTTAGGGTTGTCTGACAGAAGCGGCAGTGTGAGAGAGGGAACGGAGGAGCTCTAAAATCATCTCCCGCCTGAAGGAGAAGACGTGCTCGCGAACTGGAGGGCTCACAGGTAACTTCTGTCGTGAGATGGGTTTCGCTAGCTCGTGTTGTGATTGGGTTGGGTGATTTGTCAGGTTGTCGAGAGGCCTGGTAACGTGGTTCGCGAAATGTTTTAGCGTAGCTTGGCGAGACGCTTTGTCAGCCTGCGTATGCGCAGATATGGAGGGCGTGGAAAGGGAAAACGCAGGTATTTCGGATATGTGACGGATGGTCGAATCTGGTTGAACACGGTTCGGACAATTCCAGCGGGTTTGCAGTGCGCTGAGAAGTCCAACCCACATCCTCGGGGTCGTCCCCCGCCAATCTCCGCCAACACTGTCAGTACGGTTCAGTAAGTGTTTTCGGGGTAAGAAGCGGTGAGTTGACCGAGCTACTAGCACCGTAAAGCACCGGACAAAACCGTTGCTGTGTGAAACAGAAACAACATGCCCGTGAAAGGAATTTCGAGGTTGTGTGAATCCCAAGTTGCCCATCCTGCTTCTCAAATTCCCCTCTTCGACTGCTTCCGCCATGATCCCCACGCCTCTTCCACATCCTTCTCATCAAGCTCAACCGCTTTCCCGCCTCTCTCCCTTCACTTCCTCCGTCTCTCCCTCCTTCGCCGCTCGCTTCCGCTTTACCGCATTTCAGCCAGCACTCGCTTGCACGCGAACGCTTTACCGGCGCCACAAACTCGGTTCTGGGCGAGAACTTGGCAACATTCTCGTTACGATCGAAGCGTCAAATCAAGCGATCAGCGGGTGGCTTTTCGCATGGTATCGCACGTCGACCGATGACCACAGCTATAGCGACGGATGCAATAGCGAGCGCGATAACGTGTGGCGACGGGTGCCCCCGTCGGCGGCGAGAAGAAGGTGGGGGTGATGACGCAAGCAAAGGAGATGGTGACGGCAGCGCTGGAGGCGGGATGGGGGACGGTGGTGGTGGTCGGCGCGGCGGAAGAAGGGGGGAGCGGAGCGGGGAAGAAGGGGAAGCGCAAGGGCGGGAAGGACGGGGAGGAGATGGTGGAGGGGGAGGGTGAACTCAGTGGAAGAGGCGCGTCAATTCTTTGAGAGTATGTGATGCGGCGGGTTCACATGCTGTGCGGTGTGCTGTGCCATTCTCGCACTGTCATTCCACTTCGTCCCATGCAGCCGCGTCGCTCTTAAGTCGACTTTAAACGTCATTCCGTCACGTCACTCCCCAGCACCTCCAAACCACCTATCTTTCCACCTCCCCTCGCCGCCCTCGCGTCCTTCCCCTCCTCCCCCCTTCTCCCGCCCCCATTCGCCACGCGTTGCCGCGCGGCAGAACTGGGTTGCGCGTGGTGACGCGGAGAGGCGCGGCGGTGTACGGCGCGGGGGGGGAGAGGGTGGCGGCGTGGGTGCGCGTGACGAGCGCGGCGGAGCAGGAGGCGATGTGCGCGCTGGCGGGGCGCGAGGACGTTGCGGTCATGGACGCCGCGGACTGGAAGGTGCGCGCCGTGTGAGAGTGGGGGGAGAGGGAGAGGGAGAGGGAGAGCTGGGCCGTGGGGGTTGCTGGGCCGTGGGAGTGCTCAGTGGCAAGAGGGGGGTGTGGAAGGCAGAGAGACCCGATGCAAGCACTGCAAATTGTGAAAAGGAGGATCGGGATTGCATTTTTGTGGTTTCTATTCGCATTGATTTTCGGTTGATGGTGGATGATAAGAGAAGGAAGGTCTGTTCGTCAACCTTTCTTCCCCTCCCGCTCCACGTCCCCTTTCCCATCCCCTTTCCGCTCTCCCTTCTCCACCCTCTCCCTTCCTTCCATTCGCCCCCCCCCCTCCTTTTCTCCCTCCTCTGCCGCTCCGTGCGCCACCAGGTTGCAAGCGGGCATTAGCAGCTCCATCTGTCTTTCTCTGTCTCCATCTCGGCACATGATTGGTCCACTTGCTAGTCGGGCAATCAACGCACACAGCAGCGCCACCGCCATCGACCCCATCACCAACAGCCAAACCTCCCTGGGGGGGCTTCCTTGGCTCCTCTGCCCGTCCGCCGATGCCCCTCCGCCCGCACAGGCGACCTTCTCCGCCAAAGATGTACCCTCCACCGCCGCCTCCTCCGCCGTGAGCATCCCCACCCATGCAAGTCCTGCCTCTCCCGAGAGTGACCCACCGTGCATCCACCCGTTCTCTGCGGACGTCTCCTGACACGATGTTGTAAGTGTCAAATGTTGTAGCCTGTAGTGAGGTTTGTCTTAGGGGGTACAGAAGTTAGGGTTTGTTATATGTACCCCAACCAACATCAATGGGACATCCATTCCTCATTCTGACATGGTATCAGCTAGGTTAGGATCCTGTGGGATCCCGTTCCTCCGTTCTCCGTTCGTACCTCCCGAGCCTGATCCTACCTCTCGTTCGTACCAGTTTCGTTGTTACCGCGCCTAGTACCGAGCCTAGCGCCATCTCCCCCGTCGCGTCACGCTCTTCCCCACCCGTCGCGCCGAGCCCTTTCCCCCCGTCGCGTCGCGCCCGTTCCCCCCCCGTCGCGTCGCGCCCGTTCCCCCCGTCGCGTCGCGCCCGCCTGTTACCCCCCCCGTCCCGTTGCCCTGTCCCGTCGCGTCGCCCTGCCCTGTCCCGTCGCCCTGTCCCGTCGCGTCGCCCTACCCCGTCGCGTCGCCCTGCTCTGGCCCGTCGCCCTCCCTAGGCCCTGGCCCGTCGCCTTACCCTCAGACCCTGGCCCGTCGCCCTCCCTAAGCCCTGGCCCGTCGCCCTACCCTAGGCCCTAGCCCGTGGCCCTACCCTACGTCTTGGCCCGTCGTCCTAGCCCGCGCTTCCGCTGCGACTGAGTCCTCTTCCCCACCGGTTGCTACTCGCCTGTTCGTTCGCGTTAGTTCTCACTATGGCGACTCCGCGAGTTCTTCGTTTCGACGCCGACGGTAGACCCCTTGACTTTTCCGTCTGGCTTCTTCGCGCTCGTCGTCTGTTAGAGAGTCAGGTCCAGGGGGGCGAGACCCTCTGGTCACACGCTACTGGTGACCTCCCCGAGCCCCCCGAGCCTACAGCTTTAGGCCCTGCTCCTGACGACGCTGCTACGGCTCGCTTTGCCCGTCAGCGCGCTGACCGGACGGCTTGGACGTCGCGGGACGCTGCGGCCTGCATCGCACTCAGCAACCTCCTCCCTGAGTCCGAGGAGGTCCACTTTACTCAGGTTCGCACCGCTGCTGCGTACCTCACTGCGATTAAGGCCCGCTACTCTACTCCCGCTACTGTCTCTCTTGGCCGTCTTTTCCTCCCGTTCCTGTTTCCTGATCTTGCCTCGTTTGAGCGCTCTGCTGACTTGATCGCTCACCTCCGCTCGCTCGACGCTAGTTACCGCGCTGCTTGCACTGAGGCACAGCTTGCACTGCTTCCTCCCCCCATGGCGATTACTGTCTATTTCATCGCCACTAGCCTCCCTGACCGCCTTGCCTCCGTTCGTGACGCGCTTCTGCTGAAGCACCCTAGTGAGCTGACTATCGAGGTCCTTGAGTCTGCACTCAAGGACGTCGAGAGCAACCTTCGCTCGGTAGCTGCCGCCTCTGGTACTGTGTCCCCCCCACTCTTCCACGGGTGCACAGTCCCGCAGTTACCCACCTTCACTGCCTCTCTTGCCACTGCCGCTACTGACGCGACTGCGGCTGCTGTTACGACTGCGTCGCGGTCCCGCGGCAGGGGGGGCAAGAAAGGTGGTTCCGGTGGAGGTGGAGGCGGAGGTAGCGGAGGTAGTGGGGGTGCTGTTGCGACTGGCGGTGGTGGGAGTGCAGCGTCTGGAGAGACCCCTCGTGCAGCGGCTGGTGACTCCACTGCACCTGCTGGTGGCGGCGACCCTCGAGCTCGTCAGTCGCCTCCTGTACTGCCGGCCCCGCTAGGTGGAGCAGCGGCGTGGTACCAGGCTCAGCGTCAGCAGCACCTTCAGCAGCAGCAGCAGCCCCTTTCCTCCCAGCAGCCTCAGCAGCAGCAGCGTCAGCAGCTGGCTCCGGGGTCGGGGCTGCGTCAGCCCCAGCGCGGTGCTGCTTACCCTCCCTGCCCCTACCAGGTTCAGACAGGTCCTCGTCGGGGCCACCCTTGTGGCCGCTTTCACCCCCCTGGTCAGTGCTTTGCTCAGCTCACTGACACGGTCCGGTTGACCTACGGGGTTGGCGGTCCTGCTCCTGACTGGCTTCCTCTGGTTCAGCGCTACGGCTCCGCTCTGTGGGGCATGTCTGCTGAGCAGTTAGTTGATCTGATTAGTGCTCCTCATGCTATGTATGCTGTCGTTGACTCTAGTGTTTCTGACTCTGTTTACTCTGGTGTTGTTAGCTTAGGTGCTAGTCTTGCTCAGTTGCCTGTTGCTAGTGTAGGTACTTGTGTAGACTCTAGACCAGCGACTACCTCAGAGGACGCTTCGCTGTCGTTCACTTGGACGTCTGGGGCCCAGCCCCTCGTCTAGGCCCTGAGCGTGAGCGTTACTTTCTGGTGGTCGTTGACGACTTCTCCCGCTACACCACAGTGTTCCCTCTGGCGAAGAAGTCTGAGGTGACTTCTACGCTGATCAGGTGGTTGCTCACCACTGAGGACACTCGTGGTCGTCGTGTCAGCTGTCTCCACTCCGACCGTGGGGGTGAGTTTCGCTCCGGCATTCTCGCTGGATTCTGTCGCGAGCAGGGCATTCGTCAGTCCTGGACGCTTCCAGAGTCCCCACAGCAGAATGGGGTTGCTGAGCGCCGCATAGGCCTGGTCATGGAGATCGCCCGCACCTCCCTGACTCACGCCTGTGCCCCCCATTTTCTGTGGCCCTACGCGGTCAGGTACGCCGCGCACCAGCTGAATCTCTGGCCACGTGTCTCTCGACCAGAGGTTTCACCGACCAGTCTTTGGACAGGGTCCCCTGGTGTTGCGTCGCGATTTCGTGTCTAGGGGTGCTTGGCTCTTGTCCGCGACACCTCCGCGGACAAGCTCTCGCCTCGTGCCGTCCCCTGTGTCTTCCTTGGTTTCCCTGAGGACTCCTCTGACTTCACCTTTTACCACCCTCCCTCTCACCGGTTCTTTGACTCCCGTGACGTCCGTTTCGAGGAGTCCACTCCGTACTACGTCAGGTACCCCAGTCGAGGTCTCCCGGTTCCTCCTCCCCCCCTCTTCCTGACTGCCGTTCCCCCTCCTGCTCCCCCGGTACAGCCTCCCCCCCCTGGTCCAGCCCCGTCAGGTGTGTCCCAGGCTACCCCTCCTCCTTCGGTAGCCCCTCCGGTACAGCCTCCCTCCCCACAGTCCTCCTCGCAGCGTGCCGCTGGTGCTAGCTCTCGAGAGGTTGGTGCGGCGCCTGTTCCTGTACCGGTTTCTGGTTCTGGGGGTGCTGGAGTTGGAGCTGGAGTTGGAGCTGGAGTTGGCACTGGAGTTTCTGGTTCTGGGGGTGCTGGAGTTGGAGCTGGGGTTGGAGCTGGAGTTTCTGGTTCTGGAGTTGGAGCTGACCCGGTGGGTGCAGAGGACTCTTGTCGTCCGGGAGCTGGTGCTGGCCGCGCGGACACTGGGGGTGCTGCGTCTGAGGGTGAGGGTGCGCCTCCTTCGGGTTCAGGTGAGCCTGGGTCTGGAGCTGGTGTTAGTGCTGCCTCTGGGGGTGGTGCGCCTAGTTCTTCTGGGGTGGACTCTGGAGCTGCCGCTGCTTCGGACACTACTCCACCCCCCCACCCCTACCCGACTAGGCACCAGGCTCGTGTTCGCCGTGCCCGTGACGAGCAGCTGGCGTTGGAGAGAGAGGAGAGGGAGTTACAGCGGCTGGAGGAGCAGCAGCAGCAGCTGGAGCCGCAGGAGCAGCAGCAGCAGCAGCAGCAGCTGGACCCGCAGGAGCAGCAGTCCCAGCAGCAGCCGCGTCCGCAGCAGCAGCAGTCGCAGCCGCAGCAGCAGCAGCCACTTCCTCCTCCTGTCTCGGGTCTTCGGATCCTTGGTCTCCCCTCCCCTTCTCCTCCCTCCTCCGCCTCTCCTCCTGTCTACGGTCCCACGTTTCCTCCTCCTGACTCCTCCCCCGCTGTTTTCCCCAGTTCTCCGCCCTTGTCCTCTTCTCCTCCGTCTCGTTCTTGGGCTACTCGTCGCTCCCCTCGTGCTCGTCCCTCGTCTCCTGTTCCCTTCACTGACCTTCGTACTACCTTCCTTCTTTCTAGTCCACCTCGTCCGTCTCAGTCTGTGCTTCCGTCTCCTCCTGAGTCGGCCCTCACTGTGTCGCTCCCTACTCCTGTCACTGACTACTACCGCACGTACCGTCCTGTTCTATCTCGTGTTCTCGCCTCTCTTGTTACTCACCCTCGTGTCTCTGTGTCCGCTCTTACTGCCGCGGTTACTGACTTTGCCTCTACCCGCCGCCTTGACTACGCCACCACGCTTGTGACTGCTCCTCCTACCAGTCCTCTGGTCGTCGGGGGTGTGTCTGCCCTTGGCTGTGACGCCCTAGAGGACAGGCAGTTTGAGCTAGAGTTCCTGGCGGCCGCTTCCCCTCATCTCTGTGCCATGCTCCTCGCCCCTGAGGGTGACCCCGACGCCCTTGACATTCCGACTCCTCGCACTTACGCTGAGGCAGTGTCAGGGCCTTGGGCCTCTCAGTGGAGAGCTGCCATGGACGCAGAGATGGCCTCCTACAGATCCACAGGCACCTACGTCGATGAGGTTCCCCCCCCTGGGGCGAACGTAGTCGACGGCATGTGGATCTACAGGGTGAAGCGGCCACCGGGATCTCCCCCGGTCTTCAAGGCGCGCTACGTGGCTAGAGGTTTCAGTCAGCGCGAGGGAGTTGACTTCTTTCAGACCTTCGCACCTACCCCGAAGATGACCACTCTTCGGGTGTTACTACACGTAGCAGCACAGAGAGACTACGAGTTACACTCTCTTGACTTCTCCACTGCTTTCCTTCAGGGCAGTCTACACGAGGAGGTCTGGTTGCGTCGTCCCTCGGCCTTCACTGGCACTTTCCCTCCTGGGACCCAGTGGAGGCTGAGGCGACCTGTTTACGGTCTTCGCCAGGCCCCTCGTGAGTGGCACGACACTCTGCGTTCTACCCTCTCTGACCTTGGGTTCCAGCCGTCTTCTGCCGACCCGTCGCTGTTCGTTCGTCGTGGCTCCACACCGTTCTTTGTTCTGGTCTACGTCGACGACCTCGTTTTCGCCACTTCGGACAGGGTTGCTTTGGCAGACGTGAAGTCCGAACTGCAGAAGAGACACACGTGCACTGATCTTGGTGAGCTGCGCCACTACCTTGGCCTGCAGATCACCAGGGACAGAGCCGCTCGCACCATTACACTCTCACAGTCACACATGGTGTAGCAGGTCCTTCAGCGGTTCGGGCTTCAGCACTCCACCGTACAGCGCACACCTCTAGCTGTTGACCACAGACTCACTGGTCCCTTTCCTGACGAGCCGTTTGAGCCTAGTGGTCCCTACGCAGAGCTTGTGGGTTGCCTCATGTACCTGATGACTTGTACTCGCCCGGACCTCGCCTTCCCTCTCAGCATCCTTGCGCGCTTTGTTGCGCCAGGGAGACACCGTCCTGTTCACTGGACGGCAGCTGTGAGGGTGGCGAAGTACCTAGCGACTACATCAGGCGTGGGGCTAGTTCTTGGAGGGCAGCAGTCTGTCGTACTCACTGGTCACTGTGACTCCTCTTACGCTGACGACGCTGAGACTCACAGGTCTACTCAGGGGTACTGTTTCAGTCTGGGTTCTGGAGCTGTTTCCTGGCGTTCCACGCGCTCCTCTTCTGTCTCGACCTCTACAGCTGAGGCTGAGATTTACGCTGGTGCCATGGCGGCACAGGAGTTGCGGTGGTTGACCTTCTTGCTCGCCGACCTTGGTGAGCGGCCGAGCTCTGCACCGACCTTGTTTACTGATAACAAGGCGTCAATCCTCCTCTGTCGTGAGCCGCGACTGGAGAGCAGAGTGAAGCACATTCACGTCAGGTACTTTCTTCTGCGAGAGTTGCAGAGGCGTGGACAGGCTCGCTTCGAGTTTGTGGAGTCCGAGGCCAACACTGCAGACATCTTCACCAAGGCGCTTCCGCCTTGTGACCACCAGAGGTGTTGTGTGCAGTTAGGCCTTGTTGACACAGGTTCTAGTCATGCGTAGACTTGAGTTTATTGCCTGCTTCGTCTGTACACTTACTATATATACTTGTGATCTCTTGGACTGGCCTTGTGGCCACTGTTGCTTGTGCTCAGAGTGTGTGGTGACGTTGTGATCCACCCTGAGCTTTGTTTTCTTTTGGACTGGTCTTGTGACCGTACTCTTTTTTTTGTTTTTGCTAGACACCCCTCACTTAGGCTATGGGGGTGTGTCAAATGTTGTAGCCTGTAGTGAGGTTTGTCTTAGGGGGTACAGAAGTTAGGGTTTGTTATATGTACCCCAACCAACATCAATGGGACATCCATTCCTCATTCTGACAGTAAGGAAGAACTCCGTCGTGAATATGACGTGGCATTAGGACAGTGGATAGTGTGTGTACATCAATTGTTTCAAGCATAGAAGTGTACCGTTAAATCCATCAATGGGTTTTCTCAACATCACTTCTACTCTCATTTGCAAAACATTATGCATCCTGTCTACAAAAGCATACCAATGGGTCTACAAGCACATGATATCTAAATGTGCACTCAACCATGGAGCTTCATTCTCTGCCTACACAGGTTGTGGCTCTAACTACAGTTCTACATGCCCCACAGAGACTACTACCGTACCACGGAATGGAAGCAAGCCAGTGGAGCATGGACTGGCAGCATGCCATCCATGCCCACCCCGGCATGGACTGGCAGTGCACTGCACAGGCAGAGAAGAAGGCTGGGCCTTAAGCATTGTCAGGACCAAGACGTGCAGGTGCCCTACTAGGGACTGGCTCTGCCCACCCCCGCCCATTGACTGCTGGCCAGTCAATGTTGTTACTTAGCGGGGGTGGAAGGGGACAGAACCAGTCCGGTCCGAGCTGGAAACAAGTTCTTAGCCAATGCTAACATCATGATTCAATACCGTAAATAAAAACACCATCGCATAAACACCGCAAATTACTGAACAGCTTCCCTACTCCAACACTTGATGAGAGCCACTGATGGACGGTAATATGCTCCCAGGGTCCTCTCACAGCTCCCTGCCTGGGCTGAGAGCGCAGTCCACCATGGGCTTGAGCTTGCCGCGCTCATGCAGGTCCATCACCTGCTCCTTGCCCCCCACGTACCGCCCGCCTATGAACACCTGGTGGGGCCGTCAGCACAGGCCGCAGAGGGAGCAGAGCAGAGGGAGCAAGGAATTAGGTGGAGCACATGAGGAGCGAACAGAGCATATGGGAGCAGGGTCAGGTGCACTGTGGTGGAAGTTTCAGCAGCCAGGGATGCGGCATTGAGGGAGAGCTGGTATGGTCTTGTCTCCTACCTATGCACGTCCAGAAACTTCTCTCAGCACACAACAGAATGCCTCCCGCGCAAGCCCAGGCGAAGCTGCCTGCCTGCCAATGCACCCCGTTTGAGCCCATGCAATGCAAAGCGGCCGGTTTTGGGTGCACGGTTGAATCAGCCCCATCTGAACCCAAGATCCCGATCTGACGTGGTCGGCACTAGGAGTGCATGGCTGACTGAAATGGCAAAATCAGCGTGTGCCGCTGAGCAGGGGGGGGCATTGACATGGCATTGCTTGCACAGGCGCTTACTGGCAAGCATTGGCACTTGCTTTGAGTCAACCTGCAGCCTGATTTGATGCTATGGTGATATTTTTCTTCAGTGATGGGGTGCATGGCATGGAATGAGCAGTGCGCCTCGTCCCCTCCCAAATTTGCGCACCACATTCCCCATATGAGCGCACAAGATTCCCCATATGCGCGCACGAAATTCCCCATATGCACGCACCAAACCACCTACCTGCGCGCACCAAAACCCCCCACCTGCGCGCAGCGGCGCACGCACCTGCGGCATGGCGGTGGTGCCGTAGACGACCTCCGCGGCATTCTCGATGCCTGGCCCTTCCTCGTTGCCGTCAACGTTCACCGGCCAAATAGTCCCGCCCGAGTCACTCACAAGCCCTTCCATCAGCGCCCGCATTCGCCGGGTATCGCGGCAGTACGACCGCCCCACCACCACGATCGGGTGCCGCGCACCCACCTCGTTCAGCTTGCGCTTCATCTCCGCGCGCTCCTTCGCCTGCGCGGGCGTGCGGGACGCGGTGGCGGACATCGCGGAAAAGGGAAGTGCCAAAAAAAACTTTAAAATGGCACTTTCGTAACTTTGCAGTTGCATTCGCCGCGCAAAAAAAAAGTCTGACTCGAAAACAGTGGTAGCGTCAGTCACTTGCGAAGTGACTTTTCCGTCACCTTCCCAACACAAACTGTACACTTTGACACAATTGTGAGGTATACAGTAAAGCAACTAGGGGGAAAGAAAAACGTCACTATTGAGCAACCTATGCGAAAGTGTCACGACAACGCCACGTGGTGTACGTGAGAAGAAACGAGAATGATTGAACTATGAATGAATTGGGTACAAGTACTAACCCTAATTGGGCTGTACCCCTTATGGGCTACCCCACTATAGCCTACACAATATGCATGAGCTATAATGTTCTGACACACCCCCATAGGCAAAGTGGGGGAGAACAAGGGGTCACAAGACCAGTCAAGCAAAGCAAAGCAAAGCAAGCTCAGGGTGGATCACAAAGTCACCACACATTCCGAGCACAAGTTCAAGGCCACAAGGCCAGTTCACATGCAGGAGTACATATATATAAAGAAGGCTAGACAAGCAAGAGCCGGTATATATATATGTAACAGTACAAGCAAGGTCAAGAGGTGAGCAAGTGAGGCAAGGTAGGCACAAGGCCCAGCTGAGTACAGAAGCGCTGATGGTCACAAGGCGCAAGCGCCTTGGTGAAGATATCAGCAGTGTTGGCCTTAGAGGCCACGTACGCAAGACGCAGCTGACCACGCTGCTGCAGCTCACGAGCAAGAAGTAGCGGAGAGCAATGTGCTTCGTTCTGTGCTCCAGTCGCTGCTCCCGACACAAGGCCAGCATGGCCTTGTTGTCTACGTACAGCAGTGGAGGAGAACGAGGCGGCTCTCCGAGCTCAGTCAGCACGTAGGTGAGCTAGCGAAGCTCCTGTGCAGCCATGGCTCCTGCGTAGATCTCAGCCTCACAACTGGAGCCGAGAACAGAAGACGAGCGAGTAGCCCGCCACGAAACCGAGCCGGAACCAAGGCTGAAGGTGTAACCCTGTGACGACCGCTGCGTAGCCTGGTCGTCAGCCCAAGAAGCGTCTGCGTGCCCAGTAAGGACCACTGGACTCTGCCCTCCAAGCACAAGCCCCATGCCCGACGTACTGCACAAGTAGCGCAACACCCTCTTCGCTGCAGCCATGTGCTCCGGTCTGTGTCTCCCAGGAGCAACATAGCGTGCGAGAATGCTAAGAGGGTATGCAAGGTCAGGTCGTGTGCAGGTCATCAGGTACATGAGGCAGCCAACAAGCTCTGGGTACGAGCCACTCGACTCTACGGACTCATCCGAAGGCAGAGCTGAGAGCGAGTGGCGAGTAGGCAGAGGAGTGGCCTGAGGCGAGGAGTACGTGAAGCCGAAGCGCTGAAGGACCTGTTGCACCATGTGTGACTGAGTCAGGGTAATGGTGCGGCGTGCTCTGTCCCGGGTGATCTGCAAGCCAAGGTAGCTGCGCAGTTCACCCAGGTCTGTGCACGTGTGTCTCTTCTGCAGCTCGGACTTCACGTGGGCGAGTCCAGCAGTGTCTGCTGTGGCAAAGACCAAGTCGTCAACGTACACGAGGATGTAGAACGGCGGCAGAGAAGTGTCAGTGCGCAGAAACAGCGACGGGTCAGCAGTAGAGGGAGCAAACCCAAGAGCCGCAAGTGTAGTCCTCAGTGTGTCGTGCCACTCACGCGGTGCCTGGCGGAGACCGTAGACTGGCCGCCGGAGGCTCCACTGGGTGCCAGGAGGAAAAGACCCAGTGAAACCAGGTGGGCGACGCAGCCACATCTCCTCGTGCAGGCTGCCCTGCAGGAAAGCAGTGTTGAAGTCAAGAGAGTGTAGCTCGTAGTCACGGTGAGCAGCTATGTGCAGCAGTACCCGAAGAGTGGTCATCTTCGGGGTGGGAGAGAAGGTCTGAAAGTAGTCAACTCCCTGCCGCTGACTGAAGCCACGAGCCACGTAACGCGCCTTGAAGACAGGCGGAGAACCCGTCGGTCGCTTCACCCTGAAAATCCACATGCCACTGACGATGTTCCCCCCAGGAGGGGGAACAACGTCAACGTAGGTGCCTGTGGACTTCCAGGAAGCCATCTCTGCGTCCATACCTGCCTGCCACTGAGAGGAGTAGGGACCCTCTATCGCCTCCGCGTAAGAGCGCGGAGTCGGGATGTCAAGTGCATCCGAGTCTCCCTCAGGGTTAAGCAGTACGGACACGAGATGAGGTGAAGCAGTGGCCAAGCACTGGAACTCCTCCTGCCTGTCCTCAAGGACGTCCGTGCCAAGGGCACACTCACCCCCGACGGACGGAGGACAGACAGACTCAGACTCAGCAACAAGACTGGCGGCGTAGTCTAGGCGACAGCGAGCAGCAAAGTCGACGAGCTCAGCAACTAGGGCAGACGCAGCAGTGGACTCAAAGGAGGGGTCAGTGACAACAGTAGCAAGGAGACGCATGTTAGTAGGACTGGTAGCACGAAGAGAGTCCGATTCCGGGTCGGCAAGAGCAGGAAGAGAAGACTCAGGAGGAGAAGGCAAAGGGGCACGCAGAGGAGCAGTGGACGGACGCAGAGACATCCGGTGCGTGCCAGGGACAAGGAGAGGACGCTGACGCGAACCGCGACCACTAGTGCGAGCAGCACGGACAGGCGACGCAGGGCGAGATGCAGGCTCACGACGCTCAGCAAGACCTCCAGTAGGACCAGTGTAGGGAGACGGAGCAGGCAGTGGGGAGGCCGGCTGTAACTGTAACTGCGACGAGACAGGCTGTGGACACTCTAAGGGAGGAGGAGGACCAGTAAAAGACGGGAGACCAAGAACCTGCTGAAGGAGCGGAACGAAGTACGGCCGAGGCCGCGCGTCAACTCTAGACACAGTAGGGACAGCACCAGCACCCCCAGTGGCAGCACCAGCACCAGTAGCAGCTCCAGCTCCAGTAGTACCCCTAGCAGGACCGCCTCCAGGACCGACAGTAGTAGCCTCCGCGCCAACACCCGCAGCAGCTCCAGCTCCAGAAGTACCCGTAGGTCCAGAAGCTCCAGTACTCCCAGTACGAGCACCTCCGGGACTTGTGGCACCAGCTCCCTCAGCAGCAACAGAACCTCCAGTACCCGCAGCACCTCCAGCTCCAGCAGCTCGCCTCCAGCGCCGGGCAAACCACTCACGCAGCTCCTGTGGAGAGAGTGGCTCCCGGCGAGAAGAAGCACCCGGAGAACCGCCAGGCACAGCACCAGCAGGCCCAGCTCCCTCAGGCTCTGCACCCCCAGGCTCAGCACCTCCAGGCGTAGCACCCCCAGGCTCAGCACCCCCAGGCTCAGTACCCCCAGGCTCAGCACCCCCAGGCTCAGCACCCCACGGCGTAGCACCTCCAGGCTCAGCACCCCCAGACTCAGCACCCCCAGGCTCAGCACCCCCATTAGTAGTACCCTCAGGCTCAGCACCCCCAGGCGTAGCACCCACACGCTCAGCACCCCAAGAGTTAGCACCCCCAGGCTCAGCACCCTCAGTAGCACCAGAGTCACCAGCGACCTAGACAGGCTCAACAGCGTCTACCTGGGACACACCTGAAGGGGCAGGACCCTGAGGGGGGAGGGGGTCTACCGGGGGGGGACTTGGCACAAAGAAGAGCGGTGGCGGGGGGAGGGACGGAGTGCGGTAGGGGAAGAGACGGTAGTAGGGGACCGACTCGTCGAACGTGACGTCCTGGGAGGACAGAACACGGCGAGAGGCGGGGTGGTAGAACTGCCGCCCTGGCGCGTCAGGGGGGAAACCCAGGATGACGCAAGGAGCAGCACGAGGGGACAACTTGTCCGCAGACAAGTCGCGGACAAACGCCCGAGATCCCCAGACACGGAACGCAGACGCATCGCCAACCTTCCCCGTCCACAGCAAAGCTGGGGAGGTCTCTGGCATGGAGACCCTGGGCTGAAGGTTGATCTGATGCGCCGCGTACCGGACCGCAAACGGCCACAGAAAATGGGGGGCAGCCGCATGAATCATGGACGTACGGGCGACGTCCATGACCATGCCAATGCGGCGCTCAGCAATCCCATTTTGCTGTGGAGAGTCCGGAAGCGTGAAGGTCTGGCGGATGCCTCGTGCACGACAGTAGGCTAGCAGAAGGCCAGAGGAGAACTCTCCGCCTCTGTCAGGGTGGAGACGCAGAACAGGAAAGTCCGAGCCGAAGCTCCGCCTGAGCTGGAGACGAGCAGCGCGGATCCAGTCGATCAACACCTCAGTGACATCACCCTTGCTGCGCAAGGGGAAGACTGTGGTGTAACGCGAGTAGTCGTCAACCACCAGCAGGAAGTAGCGCTCGTGACCCTGTCCACGGACGCGGGCTGGGCCCCACACGTCCATGTGAAGCGTCTGCAGCGGGGCCTCTATCGGAGGAAACTGGGAGGAGTGAGGGGCAGCCCGCTGCCGCCCCTCGACACAGGGGACGCTGGTAGGGCCAGGCCCCGGAGGAAGGGGAGGGAGGGACCGGGGAAGACCAGAGAGAAGGAAACGGGAGGCCATGCTTCGGAGACGAAGCAGGGACGGGTGACCAAGGCGGTGGTGCCAGAGGAGAGCCTCGTGAGACAGGAGGCGACACGAGCAGGGGGCAGACTCAGGACGAGACCTGGACGCTGCAGCTAACACCTGACTCGACGCAGCTACCTGACCAGACGCAGGGACTGGAGGAGACGTAGTGGTCAATGTGTAGAGGCTCGACCCCGGCCGACGTGTAAACGTGGCCAGGTGTCGGCCTGTCCGAGCGTCCGTGCAGTGGGTCACCCGCTGACTCGCAGGAGTGAACTGGTGAACCCCCGCATCCTGTAGGTCAGCACCACTCACCAAGTTCGTAGAGAACGAGGGGAGGTAAAGACCAAACAGGGTGCCAGAAGGGGCCGTCGGACAAGGGAGGAGAGTGGAGAAGTGAGCAAGGACAGGACCCCCAGAGGGGTCTGCCAGGGAGACTGCAACTGGCCGACCAAGCGGCGTGAGTG